GGATGCTGAAACTGAAGCTGCTGAAAGGAAGTCAGCTTTTGCTCATTTCTGTAACTATTCTCATGTTGTTAGATTTCTGTTCATGACAGTTTCAGAAATATATCAAACACACCTAAAATATGGAAAATATTCTCTACAATACGACTAAGTATAAATGCATTTATTTTGTATTGCCCACCACTGATGTGTAAAGTTGGATAATGATGTTTTGCCTATGTTTGTATGACTGCTTGTTAGCAAAATATCTCATGATCCACTGGATGAGTTTTAATGAAACATGACAGTGATCATTGGATGCACATTTAAAACTGATTAACATTTAGCCAACCCAAATAAAAATGGCTGCCACGGACAGATGGATTCAGAAGACACAAAAATGAATATAATTCGGAAAATGGTCTAAAACGTGGTGGGCAGTAGCTGAGAGTGATTCACAAACAATATTTATAAGTTTGCCCAGAATTGCTGCAACTTTCTCGTTTACCTCAGTATAAAACTTTAGCATTGTGTAGGCGGGCAATATGCTTTCAAAAAATGCTAGATCTTTTGATTGCTTGGTTTGTTCTACCTATAGGTTTTAACAGGTTGTTTGTAGGAAGAAACAAAATGACAGAAAGTCATGTTGATACTTCAAAGCTTTTTAAATATTTCTAAAGTTGCAACAGTGTTGAACATTTTTAGGTAATGTGGCACAGTGTTTTCTTTACTATCAGCATTTCTTCAACAAAGGCTGACAGAGTGGGACTGAACTAAAAGCGCTAAACCTGCAGGGGTCACCTTTACGTTAAGTCAATATCATAAAAAAACATTACGCATTTGAGTGGGTTGAAATAATGCAGGGTTTATCTTAAAGTAGGCCTGGAATAAATAATAATAAATGTTTGAACACAAGTGAAAATACAGGCTTGTTTTGAGGAGCTGAGTTTACATGTGAATGGTTTCTTCCAGCGGCTCTTCTTGCAGGCATGCCTACAGCTGCTGGGAAAAAAACTGCACTGGTTTGTCAAGTTTTCCGAGCGGGTAAGTGAGCTTTTATTCAAGTTTAAACGCGTAACAGATGGGTTTTTATTTCATTTATTATTATCTTAAATCCACCTCGTGATTTGCAGACCAGCAGAAGAGTTGTAGTTGTCCAGCACCTGAACTTTTGTCATTCCAGTCGTGTCGTCGCCTGTCAGTCAGTCAAAAGGTTTTGAAGGCAACAAAAATAAACAGAAGCGATAAAGAAGAGTCGGACTTTAGGACGAGTTTGGACTTTGCTCTCAGATATGCAGATTCTAGCTCCCCCGGCTCGGCTGAGTCAAGTTTCCTGCTGTGTTTCATTGGCTTGTAGCAGAAAGAAAGAGATTTCTCTCTCTCTCTCTCTCTCTCTCTCTCTCTCTCTCTCTCTCTCTCTCTCTCTCTCTCTCTCTC